CTGGAAAAATTGTTGATGTGTAAGGTATCACTTGCTGAGGGTATATTCTGATTGAATTGATATGCTGCAAGGGATAGTGTTACTTCCTCTCTCCTATGTATTTATCTGTATTCCAGTTTTTCAGTGAGTAAGAGCTTAGAGGCAAAGATGAAATGTGACAGCAGGATGGATTGGGATTCATGTCAGCAAGGGTGAAAACTTAATTTAGAATAACAAAGAGAATATGTTGCCTACTGAACTTTTGGAGGAACTCAGAAGAAGTTGCTTCAGTTTCTCTTGATAACTCATTAGATGACAAACAGTTCATTTGAGGCAGATGTCTGTTTGGGATTAAGACATCTGAATTAAGACACAAGTAGATGTCTACAGCAGATGAAAATCCTGTGATAATGCAGGCGTAGGACAAGACTCAAGTTGCCTATAGATGCCATTTGAAACACCTAGGATATATGGAGACATCCTTATGGGGTAGTCATATCCTCCTGTATATTGTAGAATGCATGAGACCTATTTTCTTCTGCAGTGGCATCCAGTCCCCAGGCAGTTATACAAACCCAGTGACTGAGATCATTGGGCACTAGGTGTGAACCTTAGGATGGCCTGAATTGTTGTCTCCATCAGTCATGTTAAATAAAGCTCCTTCAGCTGCAGTCTGAATTTAGACATCTAACATGGGGGGAACATCTTTAGACACCTGCACAGGGGGAACCATTTAGAAGTTCAGTTCAGTTGCTTATTGGATGTGTCTAGTGCCATTTAAGATGCCCTGCAGTGTATAAACACCTTGATAGACTTGAAATGAGACCTACAGTAAATGGGCGAAGTGGCACCAATGCCCTTCCTGAGCAGCAGCACTTGGAGTCCAGAACTCACAAGTCATCCAGAATGACTCCAAGTGCATATGTTTAGACAGCAGGAATGAACTGAGGTATTTTAACCTTGAGCAAATTGCTACCCTTAAACCTCATCTTTTGTAGCTTTGGAAGACCTATTCTAAAGGATTTCCAAAAGGAATAGTAATATACAGATGGTATTTTGCTTTTTTTATATTTATAACTGTATGTCCATGAGTAGTGTAGTTTAGAGTATGATTTGAGTTTTCTATTTTTGTGTAAGAATACTATTCTTAACACAGAAACATTTTTTATAATCTATGGAGCGTTCCCTGTTAATGTCATTTGCTACCTTTTGAACTGTCAGTTCATCAGAATTCTGCTCACTTGATAGAATTTTTTAAAATGAAATACTAATTTATAATTTATAAAGAAAAAGTAATAGTTTTTTCTTATTATCTGTTAGTTAATATTATTTGCAGTTGTCTTTACCATCAAAGTCCTCTTTGTAAACAGGATTAGATCAAACAACTGGCCACTCCAGCAGCATTATCATTTATAGTTTAGTTGAATTCTCATTTGTTTAAAGTCACATTTTGTCTGTTTTCATATGAATGACTTGTATTTTATTGTAAACAGCCCTGCAACAGTTTAATAAATGTACTAGCAGATTATATTAGAATTTAGTAATTAATGGACATGAGTAGAAATGTGAGAGCTATTACTTCCCTACAGTGAATCTCAGTCAGTTCAGATATCTCCTGATATATGTAAATCACCACTTTTTCATGAGCTTACACAAGCCCTCTAATAAAAGTCGTTAAGCACATTCAAGTTAAATTTGAAGAAGTGGACTAAAGTAATACCTGTAGGTTTAATCCCCAGTGTAAGAGAGATGTAGACATACAGTATCAGATCCAGCAAAGGGCCATGAAGATGATTCATGGATTGGAGCATCTGTTATATGAGGAGAGGCTGAGCCTGGAGAAAAGAAGGTTCAGGGGGATCTTAGCAATGTGTACAAATACCTAGTGGGGTAAATAAAGAAGACAAAGTCACTGACAGGACAGGAGGCAGTCAGCACAAACTGAAGTACAATAAATTCCATGTAAAGATCAGAAGAGTTTTTTTTACTGTGAGAGTGGTCAACACTGGAACAGGTTGCCCAGGAGTCCTCCATCCTTAGAGCTACTCAGGATCGAACTGAACATGGTTCTGGGCAACTTAGTTGACCCTGCTCTGAGCAGAGGTGGTTGAACTAGATGATCTCCAGAGGCCCCTTCTGACCTCAACGATTATTTGGTATATTCCAGATAAGCTAACTCTGCATTTAAGTAATTTAATTCTGTAATGATTTACTTACATTTTATATTTTGCCCTCCTATGGAAGGTCTCCAGTTGAGTGAATTCTTTTTTGAAGTAGGAAGTCCAAATCTAGACACAGTATTTGTATTCATTAAGTGGCAGGCTGTTGTTCTATCTATGACATACCTGTTTACAGCCTAGGATTAGATTTGCCATATTTTTTTTTTGTTGGTTGTTTTTTTTTGGTTTTGGTTTGGTTTTGGTTTTCTTGAGAGCATGATGTTATTGACTTATATTGTTATTCATTTTAATATCCTAGTATCCTTTTCTGTAGAACTGTTTAGTCAGGTACTCTTTATCTTCTATTTTACCAATTTTTTTTTTTTTTTTTTGAGGGTCAAAATTACTAAAATGGAGAAATAAGCATGATAGCATTTGTAAAGGACAATGTGAAAAAATTCTTTTAATGAATCAGTCAGCATCAGGTACAATAAGGATAGTCTCCTAAGTGTTATGTATTGCTTTTGTCAAAATGTATCATATTTATTTCTCCAGTTTGTCAATGAAATTTTGAATTCCACTTCTGTTGTCTAAAGCACTTGCAGCTGCTTTGTTTGTGGTATTTCTGTGTTATAATTCAGGTCATGAATATGCAGTGATATCATAGGAAAAATTTACTCAATGAAAGCTTCTCAAGGACTGATGAATATTTTTGCTAGTCGTGGCCTGTTCCTGGCTACTGTTCTCCCAGTGGTCATGTCAGCAGCATACGTCAGAAGTTCTAGGACAAATACTCAGTTTGTCTTTACAGAGGGACATTTACCAGGTGTGTCCCACTGTTTTCTGATTATCTGTATATATTATTTATATCTCACAGGTGAATCTTTTTCATTTTCCCCCTAGTTAACTTGGCAATGAATATGTTTCATGTCTACCTTCCAGTAGTGTGAACTATGTAAACAAGTCCCTGCAATATCACTTCAATCATTACTTGATTATGTACTAAGATTTAAATTTCTTCCTGTTTATTTTCTCTATGTCTTGTAAAATTTAAACACATATATGTGTTCAGAAGATTGACCACTGTTTTCTTTGTTCTACTTCCAGCAATTGTATTATTTATCTCAGAGCTTTCTCCCAGTTTTTGGGCATTTGTCCATGTCACTGCATATAAAAACTGCTCTCCTGAATAATTATTCCTTGTACAACATGGACCTACCTTTGTTTAGTTCTCCTTTGTGCCAGAACACCACCTTGTGGAAAAGGAAAGCAGAACCTCATCTTTGCTTGGTTAGAACGATTGAAAAGACCTGAACCTCCAGATTCTTTATCCCTTACTTTTGGGTCCTTTCAGTTATATTTGAGCAGCTCAGGGTAATATTTGCTAGTTCTATTAATGCCCATATGAATGAGCTGCATGGGATAAAAATCAGAAGGCTGAAGGAACCTTAGCACCTTTACTGGAAGTAGTGAAGCAGTAACAGAGCTTAAAAAAGTATGTTTATTTAATTTGATTACATTTATGGTTATGTTAAGAAGATTATACTGCTCTAATTAAAGGTTACTAGGATTTTCTATAGTAAACTTGAATTTTCAGCTATTTATAGCTTAGGGAAAATGTTTCCATACAGAAATTTGGCATTCAGTGTCTCAAACTGAATGGTATGGTTTTTGTTCTATTTTTTTAAAAAAGACTCTTTGGCTGCATTCTGTTTTGAAGGAGGCAATTTTTTGTGGTTTTATATGCTTTTTGTTCTCTCTTGGCAAGGCTTGATACATGGAAAAAACAAAAAGGCTTGATACATGGAAAAAACAGGCTCTTAGTCTTTTATGTCAACTATTTCCTTCTTGATATTTCAAACATTGTACTTTGGTAGACATTACTTTTTAACAGAGCCACTGTATAATTCAGTAAGCAGTTACCTCTAAGTATCTACCATAACTACATTTTATACTTAATTACATAAAAATACTTAATATAATACAACTTAGTAAATATTTTTTTCTGAAACAAAATTATTTACCTGACATACTTTGTGTTAAATGTATGTACTTGTGTATTTCTGTAAGGTTTACCTTTTTTTGATTCTCATAAAATATAAACAACTATTTTTCATTTTTTGCTTTATTTCTATTTGTATTTTCTGTTTATTATCTGTCGAACATTTAATGCCATACTTGAAGGTATTGAAATTCTCTTAAGTTTTTCTCACTGTTGGTTCTGAAAATCTTTCCTTTTGCCCAAGAGGATGGTGCACATTTGGAATCCTCAAGTTACAGTTCGGGGAACTCCATCCCTCAGCTTACAAAGCCCGAGTCCTGGTTAAGGTCTACTGCCATCCAGATAGTAAACAGAGAAGTGTTTGAACTCTGAAGTTTACTTAAAGACTTCAGTTTGTTCCATGGATTTGAAGCTTGACTAGTGAATGCAGATAGCATTGAGCCTGGTACAGAATGTGACTGGTGGCTCAAGTGACTTCTTCAGCTGTGTTTCAAGTGACGTCCAAATATGCTGCAGGTGTGACCCTGTGATCAGAAGACTTCTCAAGAAAGGAGTCTCTTTTTTCTTCTGACAACATTGTCAAGTACTTATCTCCATCGTCTTGGAAGAATATCCTAAAAGCTAGTTATTGAGTATTCAGTCATAGGACAGGTGAGATTAAGGTGGAGGTACTCCTTTACTTCTCCGATTCAGCTTGGGCCACAGAATGGAAAAATGCTAGAGTCATCTTAGCAGAACATGGTACATATACTCTTACAGTCTCTAATTTGTTTTTGAGTTTTATCCAGTGATTATGCACTGTAAAATGTGTATAGTATACAGGGGCCTGAACCTAAGTGTTCTGCCTTTCCTTTACGTGCATGTTATCTGAGCTTCAGCAATGCAGCAAGAGAGAAATTATTAGTTATATGAGGGATAAGGATGATCAGAACAGAATTTGTGAGATGAATAAGAAACTGGCTGAGGAGGAAATCATGTTGAAAGCCGATTTATTAGACCAAAGAGACATTGATGGTGGAGTTCCTCAGGTCTTTTTTAAAAACATGTTTCTTCTATAGCACTAACTCAAATTTTTTGAGATAATATATGTTTGTGTTAAAATAAGGTAATTGTGTTAGTCCAAATGTTTTCACCAGAAAATATCAAGGTGGTGAGATCTGCTGATGACAGAAAGATGGGACGTTATCAGTACCACACTGGAGGAATTGAGTGACCTTGAAGACAGGAGCAATCAGTGTACAGTAGATGAAACTATATAAAATTCAGTGCAAAGCAAGACTCTTCTGGACTCAGAGACAAGATGTTTACTCTAAGCCGTTAGTTCATCAGCTTAGAGTGTAAGGATTTGTCTGTAGTACTGCCTTGAGTTTCCACTGTGTGGCCCTTGTGAGAGTCATCCTGTGTATGGTTCTCAGTGTTGTGTTCAAGAACAGTGAATTCAAGCTGGAACTGACTACTGGACAAGAAGTCTATAGAGAAAATCAGGGGCTGAGAGACCCAAACTACAGCTCAGAGACTGCATGCCTGTAATATCAGAGATAGAGACTAAAAACCAATACTTGAATGCTTTTCTGCAGTGCCCTTCCAAACTTCTGTCCCCTACGAAATCCAAGGGCTGCAGACATTCCCTGAACAGCTGTGCGAACAGCCTACTGCATATGCTGTAGCTGTGTGAACTGCTCTGTAAAGACAGGTACAGCTCTTTGAAATCAGCAAAGTTTTAACCACAGTAGGAACTGAATAGGATTTACAGGATTTGGCCTAGAAATTGAACATTTTTGCCACAGAAGTTTTATGGGCATTTTTCATGCTCTAAATTAAGCTTTAGTTAATTTATTTATTTTAGCTCTTTTTTTTTCTTTTTTTTTTTTTTTTTTTCTTCTTCCCCCCCAGTCACAGCTTTACTCATAATGCAGCTGTGGCATTTGTCATGTAACAAGAAGGATCTGATAATCATGAAATAATCCAGATTTATGCCCGTAGTGCTGAAGCAGTGCCATATTTGTGAAAATAACTTTAAAAAGAGAAACAATATGCAGCAGATGTGAAGGTTTTACCTTCACATTTAAGTAGGTTTATACTGTCAGCGAGTGTGGGCTTAGCACAGCCTGACAGAGTTTTAACTTACCAGATGTTCCACGTGATCAAATAGATACTATACAGCTGTTTTGCATTCTTTTTACTGGGCTCAGATAAATGCACAGTAAAGGCTCTGAAATATGCTTTTTGTATTTTGGCTAGTGCTGCAGAAAACTTACTTTTATTCATGGGCACTGAGAATGCAGGGAGAAACCAAAGGTGCTGTAGAAATGCTAATTTTTCGTTACTGTGAGGAGAAATTAGTGGCTGTTTGGTTGAAACAACCCTGATACTAGCCAGAGAGGGACAAAAAATGGGTTTTTCATGTGGTTGTGGATGATGTCAGATTAGTGTCCATATTTGCACACTGCAGAAGTGACTTCTGGTCTCATGGTGAGCTGTGGCTCCCGCCTGGTCTTACAGTGTCATCCTTCCTGTGGCGTTTACTCTCAGGGGAGTTGATGGGTGCAGTGGGAGCAGCTATCCTGCAGGTAGCTCATGCTAATCCCAGCATGGGATTGCAATACTGGACTGGAGACACTGGTTTGGATTCTGTGTTCAGTGCAATACAGAAGACAGGGCATCTCCAGAGCTCCTGGCAAGGCTGCCTCCATCCCTTCTGTCTGCTCCCCCAGGTGCGGGCAGCATGCCCCAAGTTGGCCATCTGATGTGTATTTAAAGACACACAGCTTTTGGGGGGTCAGTCTGAGCAACTGCTCTGAAGTGTTTCAGGACTTAAAGGCCCAGGTTCCATTACTGCCACACCTGTCAACTTGATTCAATAACAGAACAGCTAAATAATAAAAAAGGAAGTTTCATTTCCCTTCACCTGCTTTTCTGCTCTTGTTTCTCCTTCCTCCCTCTCCAACTCCCCGTGCTCTCCTTAGCCCTTTGACCTTACTGCTGCCTTCCTTCCCTCCTGTCACTGTCAGCCTCTTGCCTTTCCAGAGCTGCTCTTACACCTGGGAAATTCTTCTTGTCTTCCAGAGGCCTTCCTTATTCTCCTTTAAATCCTTCTTTAAAACCTTCATCTTTAGGCAGAGGAATTACTTTCATCTTTCATTAATGATCTCTTCAACATTTCTTGACTGCTCTGTACTTTTCAGATTTATAGCCTAGTCTTGCAAATGTTTGCAGAGAAGTAACTGTTCAGTTAAATTGATAACATTCAGTTAGAAGTCTGGAGGACTGGATCATTCGTTGGGAAGCTTTTTGAAATGGGAATATTTCTCACTCTGTAAACACAATGTTCATTTATAGTTTTATATACATTTTTATGATACACATTTGTGGCCTCAGAGGAGCAGTGGAGCACACACAGAGATAACTTCTGCTTTTAACTTTTATTCCCTAATTCAAGGTGTGGAACGTGTTCTCACAGTTTTTTAGAGACAGTGAGAAAACTTAATATTGACAATATGAATTTATACCCAGAATCATGAGAGGACAAGTACAAGCTGTACTTTTGATCTTGGTGACCTTCATTGCTTTGTGTTTCAGTATTGATTTTTATTTCAGGAATCTCAAGCATCTGGACTGCCTGAGTACATAAAGATTGTAGAAGTTGGGCCAAGGGACGGACTGCAAAACGAAAAGGTAATTTTTCTCATTTTTTTAAATTTTTTGTATTTTGACATGAATACCAGTGTTATTTTCACTGTGTGAAACACATACATCCTGCTAATCATGTTTCTTCCATTTTGTACTATAAATATATTTATTTCTTTTCATATTAATATCTTTTTTCTATGTTAGAATAAAAGTATATTACTATTTAGCCGGATGTTAAATCATATGATTGATTTCTATACTTTGTTAACTAGCCTTTCTGTTACTCAAGCGCTATTTCTTTTTCTGGAATTTGTCTTGTCGTGCAATAACATTCTGTCATGACATAATTGGTAAACACCATGAAACACTGGCTATCTTCATAATATGTGTTTGTGCTACAAGTGGTACTATAGTAGGAATAGTACGATAGGTTTTGTCATACTTCTTGCTGAACAGGCATGGAAAAAAAGAAATTAGTTTTTTTATAATATTTACCTGAAGGGTGGTAGGGAAGCATGGAAGATTGAAAAAGACTATGTAAAATAGGGTACCTGTATCAAAACAGTCATCTGTTTCCACAAACAGGGGGATAAGCTTACATACATTGTTATTACTGATATCAAAGATGTTAGCAGTATTAACAGAATGGAATTACTCTGCCTCAGCCACGCAGTTTTTTTCCCTCCATTTTTCTCTGGTTAAACTATTCTGTGTACTATTCCCTTTGTTGTTTCTTTGCTATGTTGGTGTTTGGTTACTAACAATTAGTGAGGCCAGATCTATAACAAGTTGGACAGAAGTGCTTCCTCATTCTTTTGTGGTGGACAAAAAATGGAGTAGGATCATGTATACTGCCTAGTGCTTTCCTTATGCAGTACCTTCCTACTGTCAGGAAACAGTATAGTTATAGTAATAATGTATGAGTATAGCTCATTGTTTAAAAAAAAAAAAAAGTATTGTTTATGTACTGAAAATATTTTGCTTACAAACGTTTCTTACTGCATGAAATACTTTACTATAGTATGTCTCCGTGTCCATAGGTGATAGTCCCAACTGATATCAAAATAGAGTTAATCAACCGGCTTTCCAAAACAGGCCTGCCTGCAATAGAAGTGACCAGTTTTGTTTCATCCAAATGGGTGCCTCAGGTATGTAAAATCATCACCATGCAGAACTATTTCCATTTAAACACCATTACACGTAGTGGAGTTTTCTGGTAGTATAGCCTGTATAATTATACAAGAAATGGAATTGAAATAATGTTGTTTATTTGTAAATCACATGCTGTTATCAGACACCATTTACACAGTTTTCAGGTTTTATGATTTTATTCAGGTCAACTGAAGTTGAACTAATTATTAAAAAGTAGTCAAAATTGAAGAAAAGCTGTAAATTGTGCAGAAAGTGGGTTAAATCCCTAACTCGTCAGCAGCAGGAGCAGGTTGCTCCAGAAGAGAAGGGGAACTGGAAGCCAAGCATGATACAGGGGGAGCAGAGGTTGTAGCCTTGTTGACCAGAGGGCAGTCTTAACAGTCTGTGAAAGCAGAGCAAGTCTGGTGAGGGTAACCAGAACAGCCAAGAGTACACATACTCAGGTGAGTCTGCAGTGATGCAGCAGGTCCCAGGTTAAGCCGGGAAGTCAAGTCTGGGAGACATAGTCAGGATCCAGTCAGTAAGCTACATGGGCAGGCACGGGCTTGGCTGCTGCTGTGCAGTTGTGCAGTATCTTAGGCTGGGAGAGTGTCTCAGCTTAAAAGTTGCTGTGAAGTTCAGTGGAAAGAGAGGGTAGGCCATGTTAAGACTTCTTAATAGAGCTGTCTGGGGGAGCCTCTGCTGATCTCTTTTCTAGGTTTTATTGATGAGCTCCAAGGCTTCTTAAGGCTTCTTGAGGCTTCTTAAGTTTCTGTCTTATCAATGAGCTAGCCTTGAGTGCAGGCAGCTAAACTCATAGGAGGGGAGCACTCCAGGCTCTGATCAACACAAATGCGAGAAGTACAATTTGCCATGATTACTACATAGGGTGTGAGAAATCTTAAATGTTGTCATTGCCCTCCAAACATAAATAATCTATCAGGTGATTCCTGATTTGCCCCTTGCAGCATGAGGGCAGGAATTTGTACGTGTGTGTATGTGCAAGGGTCAGTAGTAAATGGGCACTGAGAGAATTGGTCACAGGATGCTGAGTGGGGGTAAGAGGTGTGGGGATCATGAATCAACACCATGAGTAAAGGGCAACTGGGATATAGGAAGCTAGTATAAACACAAAGATTTGAGAATACACAGCAGTTGGGATGTAGAGTATTGAACTTGAGTATCCAGATGAATAGCAGTGGGGCTGATCTCTGGGGAATAGTCATGGTGGAGAGGACTTCTCGCAGAAGCAACACCAATTCAGAGACCTAGAATCAGGGCAGGAAAACCTAGAGACAGGCTTATGCAAACTGGATAAATTTCTCAGGAGTGCTCCCTAGCACCAAACCCAGGGAGTAGACTTCCCAGGCTTGGGGGTTGTATGGAAGGTCATGGAAACTGACTCTTCCTTGAACCAAACCAGTTTTAAACCAGTCTGCTGCACTTGGTACTCTTCTGTGTATCTATCCACTGTGCAGTCCTCCTTTTCCAAACACTTACGTAAGCGCACACACACAGACACACTTACATGTTGAAGGATTCTAGTTAAGGAGAGATGTTACAGATTCTATTCTGATTTTGAGTTTGCTCACAAAGGGGCAGTGACTTTTGCAGCTAATAATATAAAGAAAATTCTGTGTGATCAATGTTAATGTTCTGTGGAATGGAGTCAAAGAAAGTACTTGTGCATTTTATTTTCCTCATTATTTATGTAAACATTCAGTTGTAACTAAAGAATTGGGGTGGTGACACATCATTAACACAATTTAATGTTGTTCCTACCTATTTTCTACTCTTCTGAGAACAAGTCATTGATGTAAAAAAGAAAGGTAGCATCCCTTTTTTTCTTTTTCCTTAAATGAAATTTCATTTTCCACATTTGGAAGTGTATTTGGAAGATCTAAGTTTGGGACTATCTTATATGTAGTAGTATTTAGGTGCATTAGTTATCTTGCAGATCTAGCACTCTATCAGCAGCCGTACTGAGTTTTGATGAATCATAATAATTTGCTCATTATTTTTCCAAAATTAATTTTTACATTTGGTAGAATTCAGCAGAAATCCTAGCCTTTCTGAAGTCAGCAGCAAAGCTACACTGGCATTGTTGAGATTTAACACTGTAAATTCAGGCTTAGTCCTGAAGTATACTGTGTAGCTCCTGTTTGTGCAAATTTAATTATTCCCTGCAAGTAAGGAAATAAGTCAATACTCGTCTATATGATTTAAGCTAATTTTCAAGAAATTACACACTTGTTTGCACAGAAGCATCTGAATACTTACATGTTTAGTAGGGACCACACAAGTTATTTACAAAATAAAACATGAAATTAATTCATTTGAGAAAATACTTCAATTTTTAACATTGTTTGTTGCAGATCTGTCAAAATGTATACAAAGTTTGTCCATTTTAAACTGACAATACATCCTGGGCCTGGATTGTATCCCAGGCTTTCCTCTTGAGAAAAACATATTACAGTCATACTTATTCATGCGTTAGCAGAGCAAACTGTACAGCACTTTGAGGGAATCCTTTGATTTATTTTAGAGTTCTTGGGATTGCCAGGGAAGGGCCTAAAGGAAGGATAATAGAAAGGGGAAGAGAACAGCAACAGTGCAGAATTTCTTTGATGTCAATGCAGGGGGAATGATACTACATCTACTGAAAGCAGCTAGACTAAGTTTTTCCAAGTGCCATCAAACTTTGGCAGTTACAGCAACAGAGAATAATGTTGTTTTTTAAGCATTAGATGGAAAAGTCTAAAGCAAAGGTGGATTTCTCCCTTTCTTGTTTAATTATTTCCTTTTCCTGTGAGCCAGTATGAGTACCAAATTTAGCACAGGTTTGTCAGTTTTGGAAAAAATTAACAGCCCCTTCTTATCTTAAATTCATGTCTGAATACTTTAATGGCTTAATTTGTGTTTAAAATGGTTTTTATTTAAAAGATAAGATTGTGTTGCTCTGATAGGGAGTGCAGTCTTGACTTTGTCTTTTCTTTGTTCCTTTCTTTTTTCTTTTCATAGGTCATGGGAATAGAATTCATGGTTATGTTTAGATCACTCATTCACTTATTTCTTTTTTTAGTATTTTAAAGCTCTTTTATGGTTTCCCATCCACTGTTTTTTTTGGCAGAGGATTTTTTTACTGAAAAAAGCTAAAAGAAAAAGTTCCCCAGTAGCGAGGTGCCATATAAAACAGGATCCCACACCTATAACCTAAACGGCCAAAAATTATAAATACCTACTGTTGGAAAGCTTAATTTTAAAGAAATTTGGAAAAGAAATATTGTATTATAATATAAAATCTTATAACATGCAATATGTGTTAAAATGGGATTTTACTTAGAGGAAAAATAGTAATGGGACAAATGTAATATATATTATTTGGATCTGGCATCTTTATACTGGTTGAAAAAGTGTCATTTTGGTTTTCTAGTATATTTTAATTCAGGCTATAATTTTAAAGTGTGGAATTAGTTCCAGCATTTGCCATTTAATTAATCATTTAGTTTCAAACATTCTTCCTTGCCCTGATTATATTAATTAAAGGAATGAAAAATTGTTCTTAGAAAACTAAGGCATTACCAAATGGGTTTTTGTGACGTTATCAGATATGTTAGGTGGTCACACTGATTTATTTTATGTAGAAGCAATTACAAAAAGTTGCTTTGTGCCATCACTTGTTTGCTGATCAGAAGTGAGTTGTGAGTGACTGTAAGACACTTTTCACACCATATACCCACTTCCTTATAGATACATGTTGGGCTTATATTTGAGGAGGCATACATGCATATTTCTGATATTTTTAGTCCGTTTATTTTCATAGTAGGAAATCAGTGACAGGAAGATTCCAGGTTGCCAGTAATATTGTCACTTAATAATCTGGTATAATTTAATATCACATATTTAGAATTGTGGTACTGCAAAGTTATCAATAAAGTATTCATTGAAAATACAGAGTAACAAGCTTTGTAGTTCATATATCTTTTCATACAGTATTCCTCAAATTACTTTTCATGAGTGTGGAAAGAATCAGAAATCCAATTTAATACCATTTGCTTTTATGAGAGCTGATATAAAGAACATTTAAAATACACTATTAGTTTTTTAAAACTCAAAATCTGTAGGACATGAAATACAAGGGATGTGTCTCAATAACTGAATTGGTTTTAGGCATGCACACCATTAAAAAATAAACTCATTTTTCCTCCTGTTCTTTAAGAAAATGTGTTTGTCTGAATAATCTAGTTTATTACACAAATAAGTCTTTGATTCATCTTCCTGATTAGTACATGGAATATATTTAAACTTGAGTGAGAAAGGTCTAAGAATACCTGAAAAAGGAGATTTCTTTTGAGAGGGGAGAATAAGCAAAACAGATTCTTGAATAAAGTAATGGTCTTTGACCCTTGCTATAATAAAGAAGTGTTTTTTTCTTTTGAAAGAAATTTAATAAAATCATGAAATCATAGAATGGTTTGGGTTGGAAGGGACCTTAAAGATCACCTGGTTTCAACCTCCCTGCCATGGGCAAGGACACCTTCCTCTAGACCAGGTTGCTCAAAGTCCCATCCAAACTGATCCTGAATACTTTCAGGGATGGAGGATCCACCACCTTCTCTGGGTAACCTCTTCCAGTGTCTCACTACCCTCACAGTAAAAAATTTCTTTCTTATATTGAATCTAAATCTACTCTCTTTCAGTTTAAAGCTATTACCCCTTGTTCTATAATGACATGCAGTTGTAAAAAGTCCCTCTCCAGCTTTCCTGCAGCCCCATTTAAGTACTGGAAGGCCTCTATAAGGTCTCCCCAGAGCCTTCTCTTCTCCAGGCTGAACAACCCCAACTCTCTCAGCCTGTTCTCATAGGGGAGGTGCTCCAGCCCCCTGATCATCTTCACGGCCTCCTCTGGACCCGCTCCACAGGTCCATGTCCTTCTTATGTTGGGGGCCCCAGAACTGGACACAGTATTCCAGGTGGGGTCTCATGAGAGCAGAGTAGAGGGAGAGAATCAACTCCCTCAGTCTTCTGGCCACACTTCTCTTGATGCAGCCCAGGATACAGTTGGCTTTCTGGGCTGCAAGCACACGTTGCTGGCTCATAATCAGTTTTCCATCCATTACTACCCCAAGTCCTTCTCTGCAGGTCTGCTCTCAATGCACTCAACCCCTAGCCTGTATTTGTGCTTGGGATTGCCTCAACCGATGTGCAGGACCTTGCACTTGGCCTTGTTGAACTTTATGAGGTTTACACAGGTCACCTCTCAAGCCTGTCAAAGTTCCTCTGGATGACATCCCTTCCCTCCAGCGTGTCGACCGCACCACACAGCTTGGTGTCATTGGCAAACTTGCTGAGGGTGCACTCAATCCCACTGTCCATGTCACCAACGGAGATGTTAAATAGCGCTGGTCCCAACACTGACCCCTGAGGAATGCCACTTGTCACCGCTCTTCAGTTGGACATTGAGCCAACTCTTTTGACTGCGACCATCCAGCTAATTCCTTATCCACCAAGTGGTGCATCTGTCAAACCCATGTCTCACAAATTTATAGACAAGGATGTTGTGCGGGACAGTGTCAAAAGCCTTGCACAAGTCCAGGTAGATGACATCAGTTGTTCAATACAGGTAGATGATGTCAGTTGCTAATAAATCCAATTTAGTCCATTGTTAACCTATAAAACTCTTTAATCAACTTTCCTGAGAAACAGTATACCAGGAGGACTTTGCTGAAAAGTCAATAGCTCAGAGTGACCTTACAATAGGAGTGCAACAGCTGCTGAGCAGATTAATCAACTGGTAACAGCCCAGCACCTGTTTTCTATGATCCACTGGCCACATATGTGTTTCTATTAACTCTGTCTTTTTTTCCTGCTATTCTAAGTATATTAAAATGTTACACTATGCAGAGAACTGGATTTTGCTATGTTTTGCTATATTTTAAGGATAGACTTGTGATTAGTCTTTTCAAATATGCTGATTACAGTGTTGAGTAATTCAGGTTTGCTTATGGTTAAGATTGTGAAGTCACATTTATCAGAGTGCTGAAGTTTTCAGAATTTGGTTCATTTTAAAATGTCAGTTATTCTTTTAATTCCACTTACTGAGTCCATTGAGGTAAGTTTAAAGTTGCAATAACAGCTAATGATCAGCATGATCACAAGTTTATAATTTTATGATGCAAATTATGTTTTTACGTATATACACAAAAATAAACACCATAGACATCTTAGCCCCAATTTTTATATTCATATTGAATGGGAAATCTTGCAACTCAAATACTCAAAAGTTAAGAAATCTGAAAAAAGAGTGCTTGTGCAACATTAACTCCTTTGTTGTTACACTGTTTGTATGAACTGTATACGTAATGAAGGCAAAACCACAGTTTAAGCTAATTTCTGCTTAGCTATATAAAATGAGAAAATAACTACTGAGAAATACAAATTATTTATCTATTTTAGATGGCAGATCACAAAGAAGTAATGAGGGGCATTGAGCGACATCCTGGAGTCCAATATCCTGTTCTCACACCTAATCTTCAAGGTTTTCATTCTGCTGTAAGTGTCTTCATAGATGTCAACAATTACTTCTTTCATGTTTCAGATACTTTCAATTCAGTACTATAAACTAGCTATTTAATGTCATATATCCTGCCTTGTTAGAACTACTAAGCTATAGTTTTTTTAAATTAAAAACTGTTTCCATTGTGAAAAATGGGCAAATTCATAGAGTGATGTTAAGATCTATATATTAATATTTTAATGGAATTATTGATCAAGGAGTCTTTGCAAGTTCATATAAATGATGCTTGTGTATAAGGAGAAAGACAGTTCCTTCTCCTTTTTTGATTTGTTGGCCGTAGAAAAGTTTCTCAAGAGTATCTTACTGGAAAGTAGTGAAGATGAATGAGGAAAGAGTCATTTAAATGAAAACACTGTATAGAAATGTATTAGATTTCTTAAATTCTGCATTTCATCTTGGTAAGGTCTGAAAGTTTAAATTGTTTCAATTCATACAAAATAAATATTCAAAATTATAGATTTGAAGTGTTTCAAATTGTGAAAATGTAGCAGTTCAGTCTTAAAACATACACATTGATAATAAAATATTTACACTTCTTTGCTTTCTGAAAATTTTTTCATGCTTCTGTGCTTTGTCTTGATATAGGACAAGCTGTATTTGGAAAGTATACTGCTTGATGGACATCTGTGGTGCACTCTACCATTCAGTTTCTATACTGCATATGAAATCTCTGATAAAACAGAATCCTCTACATGTAGTCAGATTTAAAGTGCCACAACTTTGTCCACAATGGTAGCTTATATGAGTCACATTAAATCTACTATGTCTCTACTGTATTTAGTGATATAATGAAAACAATGCAAAAATAATTGTAGGTGATTGCTGAGTCCTTTCTTGCTGCTATTCTTTTTTTTTCTTCCCTCTGATTGAAAGGATGTTTGCCCTTGTAAGGAGTGCTGAAGCTTAAACATTATCCAGCAGAAGCAGAGGGGGAAGGGAAAAGCTCCATTCTTTTTCATAGAACAAGAATGTTCTCACTGGAGAGTGAAAATTAATTAATGAGCTATTCTCCTAAGTGTAAATGTTTTCTTCTCCTATCATTTGGCTTTCAGCATTTTAGTTTGCCTCATGTTAGTGGATTTACTGAGGTACTGAGTACAAACTCAGAATAATTGCTCCTTCAGTTGAAGTCACCACATTTACACATTTTCTAGACTGGTATTTGCTCTGAGACTTTTTCTCAGCAGACTCTCACATGCACATTTTCCATATTATCCATATCAACTATGACACCAAGACCAATGGAGCCCTTGATCCTAGAGCTGTCTGTAACAAGGAAATCCCTATTGGTTATTGCTACTGTAGGGATATGCAGGCATAGAGCTTTCCTAAGCATGAGACTGACTTCCTGACGTTCATGAGGAACAGGCTTTGTACAGAGAATGGATATTTCAGAGCTATTGTATGATTTTTTCCTTTTCTGAAAAATGAATATAAGTATCATTCATTGTTCCTTTCATAGTTGGTTCATGTGATTTCCTACATCTTAATACCTTTATCATTTTCACTTTAAAATTATGTTTACCTAATTGCTCACAAGAGGAAGGAAATATGCCATAGTGAATTAACTTAAAATTTGATTCAATCTGTCTGTATGAAATAGATTTAAAAACAATTGGAATGAAACTTATATTTTATATACGGTTGATATAATGTGCTTTAAAATTCTAGAATGTTATACAGAATTAAATGCTTAATCTAAACTTTTAATACAGTGCTATGATTCTGTTTTATTTAAATGTATTTTTCAGATTGCAGCAGGGGCTACAGAAGTCTCAGTATTTGGTGCAGCATCTGAATCTTTTAGCAAAATGAATATTAACTGTTCAATTGAAGAAAGCATAGAAAAATTTGAAGAAATTGCTAAATCTGCAAGGAATATGGATATTCCAGTGCGTGGGTAAATATAAAGATTCTTAAGTAATACAGTTATTGGAGTGGTTTTTACAGGGATTTTTTTATACCGGTAGAAAAGTATATTACCAGATTTTCACTTTTTAGATGAACTGAAATAATAGTCTTTATTGTGATTTTATTTTTAAAGATTGAATATATGAATTTTACTCTGTGTTTTGTAACTAGTAATGTGACTAGTTTTCTCTGAAAATTGAGAAAAAAAAAGCTGTGTGTATAAACATACTCATTTTATTATACAAATTTACTTCCATCATCACAGATGGCAGTATAACATTTATTTAGTGGTTCTGAGAACTCTTAACACTGTTGCCTGCACCTTAAAAAATACCCTGGATACTTTTATTTTACTATAGTATTAGTAATATATCACTTCATACACTGTAGAATCAAGGTATAAAAGTGATAGGACAAAATTACTCCTAAGAAAAAAAATATTCTTTATATAAATTATTCTGAAAACTCCAGACATTGAAGTGTTTGGAGTCCCTAGGGCATGAAACTCTGGAATTGTCCCTTATTTATCTTTCTCTAGAGTACCTTTTTAAAACTTGAAATAATCCTGAATCCTTGCCCTTGAATAGTCTTTGTTTTTCATTTCCATTTTCTTTTGCATTGCACAGAGCTACTTATCTAAGATTATTTGTGAAGGTCCTTGTGAATGCAAAAAGGCTTGCATAGGTTCAAGGAAAAACTCAACAATGAGATTCCTTGAGGATTACTAGTAGTTCAAACTACATCATGCTCAGAAAATACCTGGACTTGAAAATAGATAGAGGTAGATACCTCAGAGACTAAATGCTTAAAAACTTGTCTGGAAATAAATACTGGGATCTCTCCTCCAGAAATAGTGATGAGGTAATGCCACTGCTCACTTTTTGCACAATAGCGTGGTAGTTCAGCTTTTGCCTTGAAAAAATGAGATCTGACTTTTAGTTATACCTCAGCCTCAGAGGATCACAGAATGGCAGAATGGTGTAGGTTCAAAGGCACCTCTGGAGGTCATCTTGTCCAACCCGAGGATATTAACACACACACACACATTCAACCAAGGATAGCTCATAAATGCTTGGGTCCTTTCTCCCTAGCTTGGAATATGTTTCAGGTGCAAAATCACTGAATAGAAAGTAAGGACTCTCACTGTATTTAGAAACAATAACTTCTACCAGAGTTGAAATACTCTACCTGGCTGCTGTCAGGTAGAGTCAGGGTTTGCCTTCCTGAGCAACTTCTCTTATAAGAGGTCTCTTGTTTAAAAGGTCTCTGCAACCACTATTTGCCACATTTTTCTGAAACTAAGTTCTGAATTGAGAACAGAACTGGGAATTTGGGTTCTCCAGGAGGGTTAAGTTCAGGGATGCCTGAATTTTAGGTCCCAGAGAGGTGTGGATAAGGGAGTAGGCAGCCAATTCAGAAAAGACAGCGTTTGTGTAGCAACAAACCTTACGCATTAGTGAACATTTTTACCCTAAATTTTTGTTTTCTCGTTTTCTCAGATGTCTAGGCATGTCAGACAATATTTTCTGTTTCTTATTCCTGTATTTCACTAACAAAATTCAACCAAATGGCACAATAGAGGCAACCAACTATCAAGGAAATAGTCAAAGCCTATGCATTGTATATGTTTTGGGATAGCTATGGGTGTCGACAAATGGACTTTGCAACTGATCCAAAAGATGTAAACTGCAGGTGATGAAGAAGCCCCTGTGGTGTACTCTATCTTGGTGTTGGAACTTAAAATGTTAACTTACTTTCTGTGCACTGGTTTTCACATGTTTAAGAAAGTGGCAACCTGCTGCTTTTTTTTTTTTTTTTTTTCCACAGATTGTATTTTTAAAGCATTTGTAATAAGCCAGTAGCAGTTATTTTGGCACTGATACACTGACATGATGGAAATGACTGTTCCCATGGTAGGATTCTACAACATTCCCATACAGTTACTCTCTACTATCTGATGAACTGTTTGGCAATAAGAAAGCAGCAGGATGGGAAGGCATGTACGGAGAGGAAGAAGTAGGAGGCAGAAAATGGTCAAACAGAAGCAGAGCACACACACACGCACAAAATAATTAAGGATAAAAAGAAAGAAAACCAAACAAGGAGATATAAAGAGAGGAGTATCAAGAACCAGGTAATAATGCAAACAGAAAAAACAGCAGTACAGAGGTGAAGATAAATGAGATAATTGAATTTAGAGAAAATACAATCAGATTATGCTTTAGAAGTGTTTAGTTTGTGCATGCAGTACAAAAATCTGTACTTTCACTGAAGTATGCAAACCTAGGCAAACTTCATACAGTGCACGCAGGACAATTTAATTGAGTCTGTCATGCCAGGTGCAGTATATTACACAGCACTTGGAACAGTGGACTGCTTAATATCAGGTATGCTACAAAGTGCACAGATCTGAAGTTGTGAATGAAAATAATATAAGTTCACTCCAGCTGTAGCTTTCTTCCTGAGGCTTACAGATCTAAGAAAAGTGAATCATTCAGAAGTAGGAAGCCATTGGCAGAATCAGTCAATTTGTGGGATTATAGCCAACTAAAGAATCCAATCAGAGAGGCTAAGTATACTGAAGAAAAACTACATTTATGTTTATATTACGGCTATTTTCATCATAGGATATTAGATTGGGAACTAATTTATCCAGTGAAAAGTAGAGTTTGAGGCATCAGGAGATAAGATAACATTACACTACAACAAATCAAAAATTTTAGGAGAGGACTGTATTTGTCCAGGAGGGGTCTAATATAACTTCATAATAAAGTATCTAATCTGCTAAAAATCTAAATTTTGTAATATGGAGCCTTATTTCATAACAAAAAACCCTAATTGAGTTAATAATTCTTAATATCTAAAACATCCCTTGAACGTGGATTTCAGTATATGAAAATATTGAAAATTTTGAGTATGCTAGTAAGTTAGAAGATAAAAGAGAACTGGTTAACACAATATCTTTGGACTTTTAAAAAACTTAAAAAAAATCTTTCTCAGGGAGATATTGAGGAGGCAAAATTAATGAGAAACAAAACACTGTTATGGATCAGAGTCTAGACAAATGTTTTCAAGAGAATAATTACCAAGTATCGTGATACATTGAGTCTTGTTCCTGCATTTCATACTTATTCAGATGCACTCCTCATGGTGGCAGAGTTACAGGAATCTGTAGGAAGCATTGAGGTAGAATGATTGCTCAGAAATAATAATAAAAAAGGATTATTTAACGTCCATCTACCTCAGTACTTTCTCTTAAGCTTCAGCTATACTTTGTTGAGTAAAATTCTGAAGACCAGAAAAACAGTAGCAGGAGAATGAACATAGAAATGCAGAATTCATTACTTTTTCTTAATGGTAGATCTCTTAACAGTTGAACAAAGCTTTAGAAGGAGGACTTAAAACTTTTAATTAGTTAAAAAATTGAAAAATACCCATCAATAATAAGCATTAGTTTTGAATGTCTTTAATAACAAGACTGGTTGTACTGAGGGAATCCAGCCTCCACAGCCAGAAGACAGAGACTGGGAGAACGACCCCCCCCGCAATCCAGGAGGAGACAGTCAGTGACCTGCTGCATCACACAGACACACACAGGTCTATGGGAACAGATGGGATACACCCGAGGGTGCTGAAGGAGCTGGCTGGGGTGCTTGCCAAGCTGCTTTCCATCATTTACCAGCAGTCCTGGCTGACCGGGGAGGTCCTGACAGATTGGAAATTGGCCAATGTGATGCCCATCATAAGAAGGGTCTGAAGGATGATCTGGGAAATTACAGGCCTGTCAGCTTGACTTCGGTGCCCGGGAAGCTGATGGAGCAGCTCATCCTGAGTACCATCACACAACACATGTGGGACAACCAGATGGTCAGGCCCAGTCAGCATGGGTTTATGAAAGGCAGGTCCTGCCTGACAAACCTGATCTCCTTCTACAACAGGGCGACCTGATTACTGGATGAGAGAAAGGCTGTGGATGTTGTCTACCTTGACTTTATTAAGGCCTTTGACACTGTTTCCCACAGCATTCTCCTGGCAAAACTGGCTGCTCGTGGTTTGGATGGGCACACGCTTTGCTGGGTAAAAAACTGGATGGCTGGGCCCAAAGAGTTGTGGTGAATGGAGTTAAATCCAGTTGGCGGCCGGTCACGAGTGGTGTCCCCCAGGGCTCAGTGTTGGGGCCACTCCTGTTTAACGTCTTTATTGATGATCTAGACGAGGGGATCGAGTGCACCCTCAGTCAGTTTGCAGGTGACACCAAGTTGGGTGGGAGTGTTGATCTGCTCGAGGGCAGGGAGGCTCTGCAGAGAGACCTGGACAGGCTGGAGCCATGGGCTGAGCCCAACTGGAGGAGTTTCAATAAGGCCAAATGCCGGGGGCTGCCCTTGGGCCACAACAACCCCCAGCAGCGCTACAGGCTTGGGGAGGAGTGGCTGGAGAGCTGCCAGTCAGAGAGGGACCTGGGGGTGCTGATTGACAGCCGGCTGAACAGGAGCCAGCAGTGTGCCCAGGGGGCCAAGAAGGCCAATGGCATCCTGGCTTGTGTCAGCAATAGCGTGGCCAGCAGGGACAGGGAAGGGATCTGACCCCTGTACTCGGCACTGGTGAGGCCGCCCCTCGATTCCTGTGTTCAGTTTTGGGCCCCTCACTACAAAAAGGACATTGAATGACTCGAGCGTGTCCAGAGAAGGGCAACGGAGCTGGTGCAGGGTCTGGAGCACAGGTCGTACGGGGAGCGGCTGAGGGAACTGGGGGTGTTTAGTCTGGAGAAGAGGAGGCTGAGGGGAGACCTCATCCCCCTCTACAGCTGCCTGAAAGGAGGCTGCAGAGAGCTGGGGATGAGTCTCTTTAACCAAGTAATAAGTGATAGGACAAGAGATAATGGCCTCAAGTTGTGCCAGGGAAGGTTTAGACTGGATATTAGGAAACATTTATTTACAGAACAGGTTGTTGGGCATTGGAATAGGCTGCCCAGGGAGGTGGTGGAGTCCC